CCCTCTGGACACAGGGATGTCCTGCTGGATCAGGGCCCTTCCACCTGCCCCATCCCGGGATTCCAGGATTCCACTGGAATTTCCCCCCCCAGTCCCTCCATCCTCCCCTTGGATTTTAACCCTGGACAAAACCCCCTCTGGCCTTTTCCCACCTTTCCTTTTCCAAGCATTCCGGGGGGGGAATTTCGGGAATTCTGGCCTCCTGCTTTCCCTGTCCCTCTGGGATTCCCCTGGGAATGGGATTTTCCGGGTGTTTTTCCAGCTATTACGACACCAAGGCAGTGCTGCTGTGCCTGGGAATCACGGCCCTCGTGTGCCTGGGAATCTCCATCCTCAGCTTCCAGAGCAAGGTGGGAGCGGGATCGGCATTCCCGGGAAAGAGCCGCCTCCGGGGGGGGTTCAACGGGAATTTTGGGAGCGTTGGGATGCGCCGGGAGGGGCTGGAAGGGGCTCCAAGGGGGTAAAAATGGGATTTGGGGAGGATTGGGATGTGCCAGGCCCGGAAATGGGGCTGGAAGATGAGGAAGTTTGGGATAATCTGGGATTTTGGTGGATTGGGATGTTCCAGGAGTGTGGATGGGCCTGGAAGAGGCTGAAGTTTGGGATAACCTGGGATTTTGGGAGGGTTGGGATGTGTCCAAGGGGTGCAGATGGAGCTGGGAGAGGCTGAAGTTTGGGATAATCTGGGATTTTGGTGGATTGGGATGTTCCAGGAGCGTGGATGGGGCTGGAATATGAGGAAGTTTGGGATAATATGGGATTTTGGGAGCGTTGGGATGTACCAGGGGTGTAGAGGGGGCTGGAAGATGAAGAAGTTTGGGATAACCTGGGATTTTGGGAGGATTGGGATGTGTCCAAGGGGTGCAGATGGAGCTGGGAGAGGCTGAAATTTGGGATAACCCGGGATCTGGGGAGGACTGGGACGATTTGGGAAGCGTTTGGGCCCATGGAGGAGGAGGAGGGGGAGGAATTCCCGGTGCCGGGAGGGCTCCTGGGGCTCCTTTTCCTGGTGGGAAAGGCCCTGGACTGGGATGTTTTCCCCCTTTCCAGGTGGATTTCACCTCGTGCCAGGGAATCCTGGCGGTTCTGCTCCTGGTCCTGCTGCTGGGGGGGACCCTGCTGGGGCTGCTCCTGCCCTACGGACACGTGAGTCATTCCCAAAAAACCCAAACACACCAAACCGGGGGGAAAAATCCCAAAGGGATGAAAAAAACTCAGAAAAGAGGCAAAAAAAAACGCAAATGGATTAAAAAAAACCATCAAAGAGAGGCAAAAAAAACCCCAAATGGACAAAAAAAAAATCCCAAATGGATTAAAAAAAATAAATGGAAAAAAAAACCCAAATGGACAAAAAAAAACCCAAACAGAAAGAAAAACCCAAATGGACAAAAAAACCCCAAATGGACAAAAAAAGAACCCTCAAAGAGAGGCAAAAAACCCCAAATGGACAAGAAAAAACCCTCAAAGAGAGGCAAAAAAACTCCAAATGGACAAAAAAATCCCAAACAGAAAAAAAAAAACAAATGGACAAAAAAACCCCAAATGGACCAAAAAAAAAAATCCCAAACAAACAAACAAAAAACCACAAATGGACAAGAAAACCCCAAATGGACAAAAAAAACCTCAAAGAGAGGCAAAAAAACCCCAAATGGACAAAAAAATCCCAAACAGAAAAAAAACAAAACTCAAAGAGAGGCAAAACAACCCCAAATGGACAAAAAAATCTCGAACGGACAAAAAACCCCAAATGGACAAAAAAAAACCCTCAAAGAGAGGCAAAAA